CCCCTCCCTCGACGCTGGCCACGCTTCTCCTGATGCAGCCCAGGGTAGGGTTGGCTTCTGGGCTGCCAGCGCCCATGGCCAGCTCATGTCCAGCTTTTCATCCCCCAGCACCCCCAAGTCCCTCTGGGCAGGGCTGCTCTCGATCCTTTCTCCCCTCAGCCTGTGTTGATACTGGGGGTTAACCCGACCCAGGTGCAGGACCTTGCACTTGGCCTTTTTGAACCTCATGACGTTCACACAGGCCCCCCTCTCCAGCCTGTCCAGGTCTCTCTGGATGACATCCCGTCCTTCTGGTGTGTCAACCGCACCACTCAGCTTGGTGTCATCCACAAACTTGCTGAGGGTGCACTCGATCTCGCTGTCTAAGTCATTGATGAAAACGTTAAACAGCACTGGTCCCAGTACGGACCCCTGAGGGACACCACTCGTCACCGGTCTCCATCCGGACATTGAGCCATTGACCACTACCCTCTGGATGCGACCATCCAGCCGGTTCCTTATCCACCGAACAGTCCACCCATCAAATCCATAGCTCTCCAATTTAGAGAGAAGGATGTTGTGGGGGACTGTGTCAAAGGCTTTGCAGAAATCCAGGTAGATGACATCCATCATTGCGTGCCCAACCTCTTGATGTCATCAGGCTTTTACGTCAGGCTCTCTTAGCGTGCCCGTTCGCACAGGACGAAAGCCTGGATGCGTTGGAAAAGCTGCTGGCCCACGTAGTTTTTGAGTGGTTCTTTGCTGGAGAGCGGAAGGGCGTGAAGTACCCAACAGCTTTTGATGAGTTTCTGGATAGATCCTGGCAAGCGGGAAACACCACCTCCTCGAGCGCTTGAACGACCGTTTGCCCAAAGCTTCTAAAAATGAGGCTTTTGGAATCACGTCCAGATGTGTTACATGTCGTGGTGGCACGTGGCTCCAGAGGACCGCGACCTCGGGATGGGGAGGTCCTTCCCTCAGGCCCATGGTGGGCGCAGGCTGGGCTTATCCCCAGGGCTGGAGTTAAACCCCAGGTCTGGGTGCCCATGGGGTGACGCCGCCGCTGCGTGCCAGGCATTGTGCGCGTGCCTGGGAAGAAGGACAGAGCTCTGGATTGCATTTATCCTTGCAAAAGTTTGGGTTCATCCCCGTCCTGTGCCAGCGGGGAAACATCCCCAGGGTTGATCCGGTCCCGGACTCGGGCGGAATTCAGTGCCTGCCCGAGGATCTGCATGGGTAGGGAGACGTGGTTTGACCGGAGGGAAAAAAACGGTCCAGGAACTCAAAAATTTGGTGTTAGGGAAAAAAAAAAAGAAAATCAAAGGGATTTGTTTTGCAGAGAGATCTTTGCGCGCCCCAGGCTTGTGCCTTCAGCCTCTTTTTGCACAAGTTTTTGGGCAGGTTTATGCAGCTGCAGGCTCTTCTTACTCCATCCAAAATGTGGATGTGCTGGGAGCCTGCCCTGCTTATCCCTGCTCCTCTGCCGCGTTTTCTGCTGCGAGTCCCGGCTGTGGAGCTGTGTTGGGCTCTTGGAGCAAAGCCGCCGGCTGCTTGCGCTCCTGGGTTGGTCGTGAAATAACACAGCTTGCTGGTCCCCAAGCCAGCCTGGAGGGCAGGTCTGCCATCCCGTGCCCAGGGACTGCTCCTGGCCCTGCTTCCTATGGGAAAGGCGTGCCCAAGGGCATGATGAAGAGCTCCTTCCTCCCCTGCTTTGCAAACTGTGAGCTGTTTTTGTAGTGCTGTGGGTGTAGGAGGGCTCTCTTTCCTGGTGCCGAGCGCTTTGGAAGAGGCAGGGGTAGAGCTCGCCCCTCTTCTTCCTCCTTTCCAGTGGTGCTTCAAGGGTCACTGCATCTGGAAGACATCGGAGCAGCCCTACAGCCAGGACGGCAGCTGGAGCTCCTGGTCCAAGTTCAGCTCCTGCTCCAGGACCTGCGGGGGAGGCGTGCGCTCGCGCAGCCGGAGCTGCGACAACCCGCCGTACGTTCGGCTGCTGGCTCCCTCCTTTTAGCTGGGATAAAGCTGGGAATGGCCAAGAGCCAGAGGCTCCTCGCTCTTCCCCTTCTGTGCTCGGTCGGCCAGGATGGGGGCGTCTGCTCCTCCCTGGGCGCTGAGCTGTGCTGCGTTTGAACAGCATCCCCCCCAAAAAACGCTCTTTTAATGCAACTCGCTTTATCTTCCAGCCCGGCGTACGGCGGGCGCCACTGCCCGGGAGCCACCTACGAGTACCAAGTGTGCAATGCCGAGGAGTGCCCGGGGCCCTACCAGGATTTCCGCGCCCAGCAGTGCTCCAAGCGCAACTCCTACTACACCCACCAGAACAGCAAGCACGCCTGGCTTCCCTACGAGCATCACGACGGTGAGTGGTGGCTGGTCCGAGCAAAAGAACAGTGGCCAAATTGTCTTCCCTCCCAAAGGAAGCCACGCTGGTGGCTGTCACCACGGGATGGGGACTGTGCCAGCTGCACAGATGTTGGGTTGTGAAACAACAAGACCGCAATAAGCCAGCATCGAGCAGCCAGGTCCTTCAAATCAATCTTTTCTGCTGGCCCTGGGGGGTCATGCGGAGAAACCCAGAAGTTGCTCTGGTTCCTGCTGCCTCAAAGCGCAGCGAGGTGGGCTGAGAAGATCCATGCTGAAACCTCTCATGGGTTCTTCTGCACTAGTGAGAGGAGAGCCCCTCGCAATGGTAGGATCATAGGATGTTTTGGGTTGGAAGGGGACCCCTAGAGGTCACCCAGCCCAACCCCCCTGCAGGAGCAGGGACACCTTGAACCACATCAGGTTGCTCACAGCCCCGGCCAACCTGGCCTGGAATGGTCCCAGGGATGGGGCCTCCCCCCCCTCTCTGTGCAACCCCTGCCAGGGTTTCACCACCCTCAGTGTAAAGAATTTCTTCCTTAGATCCAGTCTAACCCTACCCTTCTCCAGTTTAGAACCATCCCCCCTTGTCCTGTCACAGTGGTAGCCAGGGATCAATCCGCTTGCGCTACTCGGAGTTTTATCTCCGTGTGCTTTAGCAGGCAGAGGACTTGTTTTCCTTGGAGACGGTGGGGTGACGGCGCTGCCCGCTCGCTCCCGGCG